TTTTAAATGGCACCCCCTATTTTTTATTACATATTCTTGTAGCTGACCTCGAGAGCTTTCCAAAACGCTATAATAAAGTATTTTTTTATTAAGAACTTTTTGAGTTATTAAGGTTTGAAAGTTCCAATATTTTGACATAAATTACAAAATATCTTGTAAAGTATTAATTTTTTTATCATCTTACCTTAATACTTTTTTAAATAGAATAATGAGACAAATCAACCGGTGTAATTAGTAGAATAAAATGGTATAATAAACAATGGGGGTTTCCGTTGAAGATTTCAAAATTACTCCCCCCCTCAGGGGGTGGGGATAGGGGGTCAATTTTGGTTCCAATGGATAGGCCCCTTCGAGACAAATGACTTTTACTCCAACCATTTTTTTAATCCGACGCATAGTTTTCGAGATATTTCCATGTCCACACTTAAATGGACCACCCTGTATATTCACGTTATCTATTTTATGTAAAAAATCTCATGCGAGCACGCGAGACTAGATTGTCTAAAAATCATTCAGAACTATGCAAGAGGAAAGGAGATAGGAGAAATTAATTTTTGGCAATTTTTCTCTCTCACGATCGTCTCTATTACGCCTTTAATTATACAAATCTTATATAAAGTCTTATTTAAATGCATACTTTTAGATTGGAAGCTCTCGATGCGTCTTACCCAAACAGTCGTAGGTCAAGCTTGAGAACAACATCGCCGCTCTCGACCTCATGCAAGTTGATCCTCTTCTGGATCGGCCCGCAAGAATTTCTGCTGTCTCTCATTATCTCGGCCACTCTGATCTCAGCACGACCAAGGAACTCTGCAACAACAATATTCAATATCACGTACATTGGAAAAGCTGGCGATTTAAAGAATCAATCATTAATCTCGTGTATTCATAAAATTATTCAATTCCCACAACAAAGACCGTACTATTAAAGACTCACCATCAGGACTATAATATCCCTTATCTAACACGGTGATGCAAAGGGTATCTTCGAGCAGATCTTTCACTTGAAATTGCATTGAAGCGTCCCACAAAGGGCAATCACTCCCGTATACGACTCCCGTTCTTTCTTCTTGAGAGCCCATAGATACTTTGCAGAATGCATTACACTTTCCTAGAAGAGAAAAAAACGTTCGTATGTGCACACGAGTGGTCTATCTTCGCGAACAACAAATTCTAACGTGCAAAAAGATTTCTTTCCCCCCTCCAAGTTAGTATCCTTGCCCTTGTGCAGCAATTGCATAGTCCTCGGACTCTCCCACACATATACTTACCCTCGTCCACGGATTTTTAATAGCCTAATCCTCCTTTTAAATTGGAATCTCTTAATAATTGTTTCTCACAGTCAATGCCCCTTTAGAAATAACTTTTTGCCGTGCACTTACGCCGTTTTGCAATTTCATTCGTCAAAGCATTTACTTTTGAATATTATACTGCGTGAAGAACATTACCGTCTTTTCCCTCGCGTCCGAGATACGTATATAACAAGCGTGAAAAATAAACGAAATAGAGAAGAAACCGCAGTGGAAGCGGGCGAAAGTCGTCGAAATCAGCGAACGCAATAAAAATCGATCCTCGAGTCAGCATACCGTCCGAAGTACGAGTACAGCTATTCAGAGAATTAGTTTTAAATACAGGACCTCGATACTCTACCTTTCCTGCCAATGGCAAGATCTTCAGCCTCCACCACCACCAGCACCAGCCTACCTTGTGGTCTCCTGCGAACTACAACATCATGGCAGATTTCTGTTAGTAAAGCGTTGCATGCAATTGTAACTGGAATTGATCCAAATATTTTCTCGCTTGATATAATCATCAATGTATGCTCCTGGCCCGATAGAGACAATTATCTGTACACACCACTTTGACACAACCCTTGGGGCATTGCAAGAGCATCGAACACAAGAAAGCATTAAAAAGCGTGTCAAGCTACACTGGCAAGATATGAGCAAGCAACCTGAACCGTTGGATCCTTACCGGATGGAGCTTTCAAGTTGAAACCTTCGAGCACAGTGACGAGAATTCTGCCGCACGCCCCAAATTGCGCCTGTTCTGTTCACCCACACAAACCGTGAATTATTATTGAATTTATGGAACGGCTCAATTATCTACGCAAATTTATAAGCTCGACGTCGATGTTCATATAACATATAAGCATTACGCTTTCTGATCACATTGGAAGCAATTTGCACCAGTACGAATATACACGATGTTCGATAGGCTCAATGATTGATTAATTATCGCAATAGTCACTCACTTGACCGCTGCCTTTGTAAGCAATTCTTCTCGTTTTCCAAAAACTTTCTACGCGCCTCCACAATACGTTTCGACCACAAGGAACATTCGTTCGTGGACGGTGCTATTAATATTATTGGCTTCTTTTGGTCTTTCAGTCTTAGAGTTTTCGACGAATTGTCCGCCGCGTCGCTCCCGCTTAGGCTGCTGTTTCCGTCGCTTTCTCCGAACAAAGACAATTCGTTGAGGAATATCGGCTACGAAAGAAAAGTCAGCTCTTCGATAACGGCACTTCAATTGCATGAGAAACTTGGAAATATACCTCTCTGAAGTTCAAACACGTACTTTTCTGTACATCTTAAATTTCTGATGCTCGTTACGCTCGAACGAAAATTGTTGACAATTCAAGGAGAATTTCAACGGCTGAACGAACAGCAGGAAGTCATTTGTGAGGAAGCCGACGAGCTCTTTCCCACTTTTTGACTGTAGAACAAAACGACGGTAGAGTCATGCGGCACAAAGCGTTTCCAGCGTTCCTGAATAGATACACGTTACCTTATGAAGTATACCGAAGTGTAACAGTTTTCGCGGCCCCAAGGAATTCGTCAAGGAGTTGAAGACAAGCTGCTCCTCAAGGCCGTCGCATGTAACGTGAGTTTGCAGCCACTCCAGTCTGTCGCTGTTTTCTTTTTCCCTGACGCCTTCGTTTACCTGCGTACAATATTAAATAACACAAACCCGTGAATTGTTCTATTCTCACTGCGTCGTATGTTACTTTACTATTTGTTCTTGACATATACCGACGCTATTTTTACCTGAGTGCAAAATTCCTCGGACTTGGCCAATGCTTCCTGCAGATACTGCCTGTCGGGATGATCGACCGGCGTGTATTCCAAGATCTACAATTACCATATTACGTATATTGCGACGTGGCCACAATATTATTCCAGTGGAAACAGTCTACTAAAAATATTATGAAATTTTTTATCTATTCGGAAATTTCTCTCAACGGACACCGTTCGTTATCAATGGCTGCAGTCAAGCTGCCGCTACAAATTCGAAGCGTTTCTCTTCTCCTTTTAGCTTTATTGAAAGAAAGAACAAGAAGAACACCTCGAAGCATTTGCAGCGGCAGTTTAGTCGCAGCTGATATTTCAGTAAAAATCCAGCGAAGAATCATAAAAAAATTTCTTCATTAAAAAGTAAGTTTTTAGTGAACTCTGTAAATTGCATAATTTTATTGCTTCCTTATATGAAAGGAAAATCATAATTAATTTTGAGACAAGTATATATGTACATTCGGAAATTCTTCAGTAACTTTTACTTCACTTTTCATTGATTTCAATGTAGCTCCAGCGAAATATCTTCATCGGAGTATTTACAGGCAAAATAAGATACCTTGTTGATGATGAGCGGGTATTTCGTTATCCTTTGCATCGGCTTAATTAAAAACGAGCTCAGCGGCATCCCCTTTGTCCTCGGGTCTTGCTGACATGCATGCGCGACCTGAACGAATTCCGGCGAGGTCTCTGTCAAATGCTGCAGATACGTCGCGGCGGATATTTGGCAGCTGCAAAATCTTATGTAAGCCGACATCCTGGGTATCTGCGCGAAACACATACATCGTACAGACAGATCTCAATAGCGAAGGCCGCTCCCATGCCCCACATTTGAAATCGCACTTACATTTTCGCACAATATATCGCCGATCATTCGCACTACTTCGTTGTAGCTGTTGTCCCTTCGTATCCTCAGAGTTCTGCGAACACAAATTCATTCGTGTTTCCTTAGTGGCATCGATGGAAAGTATACACCCCGCTATAATGCATCAATAAATTCCGGTTACCTCAAGAAGTTATCGTTACACGCGATAATATCTCTCCAATTGATAAAGATCCTCTCTATCTCATCGACACTTAGGACTAAGCTTTCGATCAGCGGTTTCTCGAACACCTAAAATATGCGTACATAAATGCATGTGCTATAATATACCGTGAATCTCCCGAGTTTCCCCTTTATCCTCATTGATCTTCCCTGATCAATTTGGAGTTGCGCGTTCTCTCCAGTCATTTCTCATCCCTCGGCTATACGCGTGGTATTAAGATTTAAATTAAAATCTTGTTTAAAATTCTAATTAAGAATTGTCAATCGTATAACGAAACCTTCGTTATACGACTGGCATATCTGATTTTCATTTATTTGCACTGATGGCTTTTCAAGATTCAAGCATTCAGACGCTACCTCTCGACGCGAGAGTACTCCAAATTGACGTAAAGGATCCTCAGATGAAAGGAGGGAGAACTGTTGCACGCCACGATATCCTAGATTAGAATCCAGAAAGGGAAAGAAATACCTCGTGCACCAGTCTCATATCTTCTATGTAAGCTTGCTCGGTCACGATCAGCTCTTTGATGTGTTCCTGGCGTTTTCTCTCCATGGGATCGTGACACATCACTGTGTCGATCGACAATTCACTCGCTACACATAAAATATATACAAAAAAGATGTTTCTTCCGCGTAAAATCGTCTTTAAATCTATTCCTCTTAACTTGTACTATTTAGTTCGGTAGATTGAATTTTTATCTAAAGCGGGAACGGCGATTATTCTCGGAAATAATCAATGTAATTATAAGGTAAATAAAAAATCTAGAGATTCTCGAGATTGCAAATTAAGCTTAAGTAACAAACTGTGGAGCCTAATAATTTTATAATTTAAATACACCCTAAGTCAATACGTTAAACTCCGCTATGCGTTACATATGACACAATTCTAGTAATTACAATTAATGGTTTTAAATTATTACATTATTAGACTCCGCGATTGCTCGAGCTCAATTTAACAAAAGGTAAATGCTCCGACAAAAGTATTTCCTATCGCGCTGAAAGTACGTTGCGAAAAAAAGAGAGAAAATATATGTCAAGACAGTACCGACAAAAGAACGCCGTTACGAGCAATAACGAGTGACACACGATTCTCAAGAATAATTTTACAACAGACAGATATTTTATTTTCGATCAGCGGTGAGATGCGAACGTATCCGTGTATGCACATGTGGATATGTTTACATATGTATAAGAACATCGGCGTACATGTGTGGAAACACAATATAATACTTCTATATATATTTATATATGTATATAAAGTGTGAACAGGACTCGTATAGTCACACAGAAATTGTCCATGCTCTCTTACAACATTCTCCACTACGCGCCAGATTACACCGTATCCTATTGTGAGACTTGAGACTTGAGATTCGATATTAGAATAAACAAACAACTTACAAATAGTAACAATCTTAGGAATATAACGCACTACACGGCTACATCGACTAAGGGTAACCAGTTGCACAACTTGCTTTAGACATCCCGCCGTCACCAACTGAATAACGTTATGCTGGACTGGTTTGTCTGGAATACCTAATTGCTAAGCACACAATTATTGCCACTGTGACATAACGTATTTACTCGCTTCCCTCGTCGAGGATTACAAATTCAACGCGTACAAGTTTCTCGCAATAGCAATGAATAGATACGCTGTGCGCTTGATTCCTCGCCTGAATCAGCTACGCGCCATCCTCTCGTTCCTCTAAAATGACCTCGCGGTTGGGAGCTTCGAGGGTTCTCTAAGGAAGCCGGACCGACCATATTTTTGCGAACATTCGTAAAAACGTTCGTCGAACGTCAACTCATCAATGTTGTATCAAAGCTGCATAATTGCGTGTACGCCGAACTCGGTGCAAAATGTAGGCTCTACTGCGGCTCTTTCTCTCTCTCTCTCTTTCGCTCGAGGACCTTATTTTTTTTCTCTCGGAAACAATAAACATTTGAATAGATCCTTTAATATAATAAATTCTTTGTAACGAAGCGCTGTATGTTAACAGGATAATAGTACAATACATTACACGAATAAGACGCTGACTGTCGATTACGATCCAGGAGATTAGCAGTCAGTCGATCAACACACACATAAGAATGCGACTTGATGGAAAAACTGATTTACAATAACGTTACTCACTGAATCACGTGGTCAACACTATCGTTTACTCATAGCTCATCGTTAGTGATCCTTGGCAATTATTGTTCACGTACGGGTGCTAATTTATTTAGGCTCTATCGTAAAAGGCTGTGAAGAAGGAGCACATTACTCTTAGTCGGATTTTTGTTTTCTTATTTACAGCAATAAAATACTCGTGCGGGATAAGAGCTAAAAAACTAAAAATCGAACAATCAGATTGATAAATTAAGTCGTACGCTTTGGTTTCACCTCGCTTCTCTCTCCACGAAATTTCCACGCGAACAAACGGAACAACTTTTGCGCAAATTCGCCAATTACTCTCGCCGGATGTAACAAGCCGCCGCGCGCCGTCGAATAAAATTGCATACATTTCTAGAACACTTCTGGGCTCCTTCTCCCCTTGTATCGCTTCCGATCGTGACAGCTGATTACCCCCGGCTGCTCGATCGTGAGATCGTCACACATCCTCTAGGCCTCAGCGTGAGACAACTGCGATTTCCAACGGTCCGCGATACGCACCACACAATACGTTGGCTAAAAGACGGAACGTAACGCGCCGTTGCTCCTCTAGTGACCACTTTTCTATTTCACGCAACTGTGATCAACGCAGGCATTACACTACAGAGACGGGGAACATAACAGAAACACACGTGAACCTTAACTCCTAAGGGACGATCGAAAAAAAAAATGCTCTAAATTTTGATCGACCACCAAAATGTTCCGAGGCAAGATAAGTCAAGGAAGCGGTTTTGAAAACGCTTGCTTCTTCCTTCTTTTTTTTCGAAAAACTCTTTTTTTTACTTACAATCTGACATACTTTTGTAGATCAATTTCCTTACAAGAAAACCCTTAAACGTAAAATACCGTGCCGAATACGTTAATCCGCACGTGGACATCGTCACGGGACGCAGCACGAATCCAACGTGAACTTAACGGACCACTTAAACATTAAGTAACAATAGTATTCGTATCGTGACGTAATGTTAAATATCTCTAACGTGGATAAGCTAGGAATTTAATATTATCGTTTCTTAATTGTACGCCAGCATAGATAGAGAACTGAGGTAGACCTTTGGTGTTGGTGCAGATATATCGGGTGGTCGTAATACTAATGAAACGATTGGACTTGGTACATGCGCGCGTTGTTCTTACGCAACGAACATAGAATTCGGAGACTCCGGGGTTTGAGGATGCAAAACGGTTAAAGAGGCTAAGACGTGACTCGTGTTAACAATCCGAATGATAACATTAATGAAAGAATGAGTGCAACCCCGCACCAGAGGGAAAGGCTTGTATAATATGTATAAGTAGAGGCTATATTTATAGAGACGAAGAGCCAGCCCTGAGTCTTTCTCCCTGCCCGTCTCGTATTAGTTTTTCTTTTTCGATTTTCCTCTTTCTCTCTCTCTCTCTCGCACACGCATACACATACACGCACGCACGCACACACATACACACGTACTCCTTTCCTTCTCCATCCCTATTTCCCTTTCTTTGCTCTCACTTTTTGCTTTTCTTTCTTTTTTCATGCACAGTGTCTCCAACGATGAGACTTCTGTCGTCGTAGCACGCCGTGCCGAATGTAGGAGCTGCTATTGTTCTTATTACACTTCAGGTGCTTTAATTTTTAACCAGCAATGCTGTTCTGCTGCTCGGCTACCCTTTATGCTGCGTGTTAAGCAAAAGCGAAAGATAATAATTAATAAAAAGGAGATTACGAAATGCACGTATTATAGACTAAGAATAGAACAAAATTGAGGCAGCTGTTCTCTTCGAAACGTCTCTATTAATTTTGAATTTGTTAAAATTACCATTCAAGAATTGTAGAGGCATAAAATTATCAAGTGTTTTGCTAAATAAAATCCCTAAGCCTTTCCGAATTTAAAATGTTCGCAATTAAACGCACATAAAACAACAAACTTGAAATACTGATCGAGCGCGAGTTCTGTTCGGAAAACGTTCTTGTCAATTTTATTCCAGTTGAGAAAATATAACAGTGTTCAAACACTGTGGAATCTTTAGAGAACACGTCCATATGGATTAAATACAATCTACATACTGTTATGTACAAATAATAGAATCGCAGGTTATATCAATCAGAACTGTTAATTGTTTAATCGTTGATTTCAAGGAAACGGCTACCTCTGACGGAGAGACGGACGGACGAACGAATGGGCAGACATGCAAGGCAGAAACGCAAGCTGTTCTGTAAGTTGACCGCACTCAGTAGAAAAAAAGAACTGTTTGGCAACTGCTGTAAAATTCGCGAATCTGGAGTATACTTTTAGATTTAGCCAAAATTAAGAGCACACGACCGACGGACTCAACATTTTTACAACAGCTGCGAAGCAGCTTCTGCTGAACGCACTGAGAATGATATCTGATTTGTCGCATCCGTTTCTATTTCTACTTGTAATGTAAACCACAGGCGATACGTGTGTGAGCGATCTCTCTCTCTCTTTATGCTTGTGATATACCAGTAACCAGTGCCGTACACAACGCATATGCATTAGAAGAACGAGAATAATGCCAGTTATCACAAAGTGCAAGCGGGCCTTGAGGACAACCAGACGCATCGTCTTTACACAAACACTTACGTTAAAAACAAAAACAGAGCTTTCCAATAATATCATTGATTCAGACAAGGTTTATAACTGATGGTGAAAATATATTCTTCGAAATGTATTAATCTACATTGAGCTTATAAAGAATTTATGCAGTTTTCTCTTTCTCTGCTAACGCTCCACTTACAACAATATATATATATTAGTCTACAAGAAAATGTAGGGAATATACGCTACATACTTTCAGCTTTACTCTCTTACAAGCTATTAACTTATAATACAATGCTAACATTAAGTATACTTGATAATTGCAATAACGCGCTCCATCTTCACTTATTCGGCGTCGTTAACCGAGTGCAGAGTAAGTGAAGGTGGGGCGCCTAACAGAACAAAATAATATAATAACAACGATAATAATAATAACCGTGATGACAACGATGATAATAATGGTGATGTTGATAATGACGGAAGTAGCAATGACGATAGTGCCGATAATGAAAGTGACAGCAATGATAAAGGATACAATAAATAAATAAATAGTCGTTTCAATTGGAGCTCGTTACACCTGACGATCGTCCGCCTATCTGTAGCCAGAAGTTGTGTATATATATATCTCTCTCTACATCTTTATTCTCTATCACCTATTAGTCGGTTCAATCCACTCTCTTTGATGCTCATACGCGTGCGGTCAGTGTAGAAATTTTAATACGAGTTAGCGCTACATCATTTTCTCCGTTCACATTGTACTTGCGATGTTAAGAGGCATAAAGTGGTGTCCTGGGATTCAATTACGGCAATCACGTACGAAAGGAATACTTACACAGAGGTGATACGTAATTGCTCGGAAAGACGCCGGACACGCCGTTCAACTCGCCTCTCCACCACGACGCCTCCTCCTTAGCGAGTACTGATATAACGTCACCCTTCTCGAAGCTCAACTCGTCCTCGTTTTGTGCTTGGTAAGGATACAGAGCCATGACGCGTTCTAGAAGTGAGAGGAAACGCTTATGCTATGGATTCATTGTGGCCCGGGTAGACCGTCCTGAGCATTGGAGTTTAATATAAACGTACGCGGGTGTTTGAAACAAATTGCAAAATGATAACTGCACAATTTACTTACCGATATTCGGATCCGTTGGCGAGTCTTGATAGCCATGGGAAACGGGTGTACTTCTGTTACTGCTGCTGGTTAAGGGTTTAACGTAAGTCGCTGGGAACCAACCAACTTGTCGCTTTTTACCACGGGCCTGAATAAACCATGGACCGGTTGTTACTTAACAGCATGATACATTAGGTGACGAAAAGAACGTTCGTACCCATACAGCACAGATGGTCGCAGTTACATTGTAAAAACATTGCAATCTTGCGGAGACATTGCAGGGATATAAAATTGCAAACTTCCGATAGCAATATTGCAGCAATGTTTCAAAAATAATGAAAATACTGTTTTCTATTTTAAAAATTTTTCTAATTACGAGAATTTTATACTGTTATTTTCGTTGGTACCAATAATGCGCGAATTATTAAGTACTTGATCAGTGCGGTGTTGCTCGCAATCTCCATCTATTGCGAAGCGACATAATCTCCTTAGGTTGCTTCGCAAAAGCTTGCTATGCCTTGAAAAAGGTCCGGATGTATATGTAATTAGTAAATTCTCTGCTTATGTACAACAACAAATTATTCCAAGAACATTGCACTGCAATCTCTCTGAGGACATTTCAACGTTGCCGCAATCCTCCAGAAACGTTGCGGCAATGTTGCGCAACGTTGCTGCAATATTGCAATCTTGCAATGTAACATTTCCGCAATCTTCCTGCAATCTTTCTGTGCTGTGTGGGACAGCACAGATGGTTGCAGTTACATTGCAGAAACGTTGCAATCTTGCAGAGACATTGCAGGGATATAAAATTGCAAACTTTCGATAGCAATATTGCAACAATGGTTCAAAAATAATGAAAATACTGTTTTCTATTTAAAAAATTTTTCTAATTACGAGAATTTTATACTGTTATTTTCGTTGGTACCAATAATGCGCGAATTATTAAGTACTTGATCAGTGCGGTGTTGCTCGTAATCTCCATCTATTGCGAAGCGACATAATCTCCTTAGGTTGCTTCGCAAA